TACACTTTCCAAAGAGAAAAATCAATGGAAGGGCATATATATATATATATCAATTTATTCATTTCTTCATCCATCCTTTAAATATATAAAAAAAGTGGTATGGAAATGCAAGTTTTGTTATATATATATATATATATAGAATAAATTAAATTATGAATAGGGATAAAGTAATGCCCATATAATCATTGCATTTGTCAATTTTAGTATAAAAAGTATTCCACTACGGACCACTTATAATTAAAATAGTTTATCCTTTTCGAATTTGCGAATATCTTTCCCCATTTTGGATAGTATACTTCAATTTCCAATTGCTACTATGCACTTAAATAATATATATTATATAGCATACATGGAAGGAAAGAAACAAAACTTTATTATATTTGTCGGTTTCCTTTTTGTATAACATTTTGTGAAATTTCATATTTTCATGAGAAATTCTTAGTGATGGCCCACTCAGTGATGTCATGTCCACGTGTCACAATTTCCAGCAACAATTGTGGGTTTATGGCTTACTTAGTACTGTTATAAGGCCCATTCATGGTTCCATGATCGCTGCAAAAGCCCTAATTCTCGAGCCCATTTACATTTGTTGATGGGCTTATACTGTAGTTTCTCGAACCTTTCGAGGGCATTAACGACTTTTCCAGAGTCTCGTCGTCATCGTTCTCCTCCCTGTCCCTGGGTGCGAGCGTCCGAAAGCTGAGAACCTGTGTTTCTTAGGGTTTTAACGTTCAAATCTGAACGAATAAGGAGAGAAAGAGCTTTTTCCGGCAGAAATGGAGGGAGCGGATGAAGTCGGAGCAGATAGAAATGTGGATTCGAAGGACTTGCAGCAACAGAGCAAAGCTCTCGACAAGCTTACCGATCGTGTTGAGGATCGCCAGCTCGATTCTTCTCGCGTTCAATCGGTCCGTGATCTTTTTGCTTCCTGTCCGGATTCTTATTCCTCAGAGTCGTGACGAATTTGGGATTTCTTTTACCATTTTTTGGAATAGTCAGGCGTTACTTAACTTTCGGGCTTAATTAGGGTTTTTTTTTCGTGTTTGGCTAATGAAGATTCTGTTATGTGTCAGGCTATGGCTTCCATTGCCGCTTCCAAGGAGGCGGATCTGAATGCCAAGAGGATGAGGTTTGTATTCGTGCCCCATTTTTATCTCTCACCTTAACACATGATGCTCCTAACGTCCAATGTGGGTAAAATTATTTTCTTGTTGATGCTTTTTTTTTTCAAGTTCATGATCGTAAATTTCATTCTGGAATGGCAGTTTTATGTGTTTCAAGATTTATCAAGTTGACCAAGAGATTGGTTTTGGGCAAATTTCTTAGCTTTTGGATCATTTATGCTTGTCAAGTTAATCTCTTAGCTTTGTTGACATTAAAACCAATAGGTGTGTACTGTTCTGCCATAGAACATGTAAATGATTGGAATCGAATGAAAGAAGTTGAAACTAAGAGTTTACTGCCAAGATTGGGTGGCTTAACCGAAGGGAGCAAAGCTTCTTTCTAACCCGGGTTCGAGTCTTCCTTTGGGGAGAGGTATTCACATGGGCTTCTCCGGTCCTCTGGAGATGTAGTCGGGGTAAAGGTTCGGTGAATTTTCAGGTTGTCCAAGAAAAAAAGAGTTTACTGTTATATCCGGTGTAGTTATCCATGAATGAACACTTCATATGCTTACAGAACAGAACCCATCTTTAGTGAGACATACATTACTTATGATTACGAACGAGCAAAAGTCTGTCCAGAGCTTGAAATGCTGCATTTGAACCCGGCTTTCATGGTGCCGGGAAAATTTGCAGGGAGAAGGAATTGGCTTCTGTCAAGATCAATGCAGCAGATGTTGAGATTATCATGAACGAACTGGAGGTCAATCTTTTTATCGCCAAGCTTTCCTTCCTTTTCGTTTTTCAATGCAACATTAGTATTGTTCCATCAAAAGGGTTTCTGAAATTCTGGTTATCTGTCCTCTCTGAACGTCGAGAGCAGTTGGAGAAGAGTGTCGCCGAGAGGACTCTGAGGGAGCACAAAGGCGACGCAGTTGCCGCGACCCGGGAATTGCTTTCGCGATATCCTCTCTGTTGAGGTTTTCATTTTCTCTCTTGCCACCCGCAAAGATTTCAGATCTGTTTTCTGTCTTTTTGGCTTCTGAGACAAGACCGTCTGGCTTTGTTGAATCTTTTGTCTCTGGGGGAACACTCACATCTGTAATGTGAAGAGATTAAAGGGAAAGTATGATGTCATATTTACGGATTATCAATGTGTAGTTGACACTTAAATGATGTTGTTGTGTCTCCGAGATATATTTATATTGTGTAATGAGATTCGAGATAAAGAAATGTACTTTTTATATTTATTTAAAATTAAATATTGTTTATTTTCTAAATTAAATCTGAAAAAAACATTTTTCTATTATCGACACACATTAATATTTATCTATGAATCCCTTATAATTTTAAATATTCATCGTTACGCTCGAAAAACACCACTTCAAATAAATTAACTTGGTTAGATAGTTTTTACTTTTTTTAAGAAAAAACTAATTCAATTTTTATTAGAAATATTAACAAGTCCACTGAAATCAGGCCCGTATGACTTAAAGGGAGTTAAAGCCCAAAACAAATCGCACGCGACCCAATAATATTATTCGATAAAGGGTTGAGTGGAAGTGATTTTTGTATTTTTTTTAAATTCAAAAATAAAAAAATTGACAATTAAGTTTTTGTATTTTTTTTTCCAAAATTTGGAAAACTATTTTAGTAAAATAATTAATTAAAAAATAAAAATTCTATTTTTTTTTTTGGATTTACAAAAGACATAAACCAAAACTCAAAATAAAAACTCTAACCATTTAGAACCAAAGTTAGATTCTATTTGTAACTTTATGACAAAGACTTTTTATGCACTTAGAAAGTAATTGACATATGAAAAGTGCACATAAATGGGTTTATAGGCTAAACAATCGGATATATATATATATATATATATATATATATTATTAAAATGAGAGAATTTTAGTGAAAAAAATGGAGGAATCTCAGCCGTCAGATTACACGCGCCCGATGAGGGGCGTCACCGAATCCGAAGAGAAAAAAAGTGGAAGAGAATTCAAACCATTTTCCTTCGACGGAAACGAAAATTCAAAATCACCGATCTCCTTGTCGTCGCCTCCGATTTTCTCCTGATTCCCAGACGAAGAAGACTTTCTGGTTGTTTTCTCCGTTTCAAACAAGTAGAGTGAGCATCTTGTGCTTGGTCGAGAGATTCCAGGTGCGTTTTCTGGGATTTGTATGTTTTTCCGAGAATCGAACCGCAGGTTCTTCCGGATTTGGGTTCATGATTTCGCTTTGAACTCGTTGAATCTGCTTAGAAATCGGTTTGTGTTTGTTTACTGAGATATGAACGCGATCGGGGGTGCTAGAATCGTTAGTATCCATGTATAACTTGTCTCCGTGTAGAATGATCAGATCTGTGTTCCGTTAGAAGTACCTGAGAAATGCTTTGAATCATCAAAATTTGTTTGGATTAGGTTTTTAGTGGGAACTATCCAATTTAGCGCAGTTTTGGCAGCATAAACTTGAAATCGTAAATGTAGTTATTAGCAACTAACTGTGATTACGGGTTAGCAATTTCTTTCTTAAGTTTGCAACTTTTGAAGTTTTGTGGATTCTTAGCTTTGATCTATGATTTGCAGAGATCGGTTCTACCAAATATTTTGGGACATAATAAAGTTCAATGGCGAGGATAAAACCTCAGGCTCTTTTAAATCAAAGCAAGAAGAAGAAGGGCCCGAGTCGTATAAGTGTCTCCACAGTCATCATCTGTAATCTTGTTATTGCTTTGGTCATATTATCGCTGGTAGCCACTTATCGTCGTTTTTCCCAAAGGTTTGTTGCCTGTCTTGTTCTTTTCTTTTGGTTTCCTTCTCTCTCGTGTGTAGAATTTCCCAACTATTAGCTGATTAGGGTCCTTTCCTTTGTTGTCTCTCAGATCAAGTATCCCAACAGGAATTACACAGAGATTTGAGGTAACTGCGTTGTGTTTCTTCTGATTCACGTGTTGTGTTTTGTTTCAACCATGGTTGTCTTGCTTACATTTAGTATTAGTGTGGCATGTGGAGCTTCATATCGGGTTTCATCTGATGAGCTCCTAAGCTAGGGTTCGAAGGGTCCTGAAATATCTGATCGGTTGTTTAATTTCGTGTTTCAGGAAACAAAAGTAGCATCGGAGTCAAAGAAGTATGATCTTCCTAGTTATGCTGTGAGTTAAATTTCTCAGTATTCATTTCATCAACCTCAATCCACTACATGCCCTGTGAATTTGTTTGCTGTGCCTTTTATTGCTCGTTTAAGTAACATTGATAACGAATGCTTGATGGATCTCGTTTGCCTGTTTCTTCCAAATTCAAAAATTGTGTTTTCCTTTTCAAAAGCAGTTCTTCTCTGTGTGGTTGTTTAACCTCATCATTTTAATATTTTCCTATCTTTGTTGATGTATTCGAAAGTAAAAGCCAAATTCCACGATGCCATGTTCTATTGTCCGGATTAACATCTAATTGATAGCATGTTTATTTCTTGTAGGATATAAACACGTCGAAAGGTCTTATAACAGTGGAACTATTCAAAGAAGGTTCTCCCGAAGCTGTGGACAAGTTTCTAGACCTCTGGTGAGTATATTGCAAAACATTTAAGTTATATATGTTGAGTTTCTAGCATATGCAAAACCATTTAAGCAATATAATGTTGAGTTTCTTGCAGTCAGAAAGGGTACTTCAAGGGAATGCCGTTTCATCGTGTTATAAAGAACTACATGGTTCAAGCGGGTCATTCCCCGAGCACAGTACCTGTAGAAGAATGGACTGCTAAAGGGAAACTCCGTGGTCGCCTTGACACGAGGTCTGTCAAACTTACTTCCCAAACGTGTTTAGGGTTTCGTCTCTCTTTTGTTTAACGACCCGAAACACTGAAAATAAAAGATGATTCATTCGGTATTGAAATTAGTCCGAAACACGAGGCATTCATGGTGGGGACTCCGAGAGCAAAAGGGTCTAGTAGCAATGACTTTGAGGTTCTAATCACGACGGCGCCAATCCCGGATCTGAATGATCGGCTGATCGTGTTTGGGCGAGTCCTCAAGGGACAGGAAGTGGTTCAGGTCGGTCCGGGCCATAGAAATCTCTGTCCTTTCGGATGATTTTGTCATTGTTTTTGAGATTATGAATGATATTTTAGGGTTTTGTGTGAAATGCGCAGGAGATTGAGGAGGTGGATACAGATGAACATTACCAGCCAAAGTCACATATTGGGATCGTTAACGTTACACCGAAACTAGAGATGTGAAATCTGTGAGGGACTGACTAAAATCTTTTCATCAAAGGTCTTTCTCTAAAATTTAAATATTTGTATTTTCTTTTGTCGGAAATGGCCCTTTCTTCTTCATTTCATTCGCCCAAACGGAACAAGAATCATGAGAATTAGTAAAAAAAAAATATCTAGAAAATCATCGACTTTTAAATCTCCAGATCATAACAATGAAGTTATTATCCTCAATTACCGAATAAAACATGATTTTGATTTAATTCCTAAATTTTGTCATCTAATGTGATGAGTTTTTCCAAAGATTTTAGGGCACTTTCATGTTGTAATTCAAGAATTTAAAGAATTTAAAAGTTTTTATCCGTCTTTGAGATTCCTGTCTGAATTCGAGATTCTACACTTTATACATTTTTAAAACCAAAATAATTTTTCAAAATTTCAAATATTTTAAGAATAAATTGTTTACTTAACAAATACGATACAAAACATAAAGAAGACATATTTGAATCCAAATACAAATATTATATATATAAGAGAAAATCAAATATATACAAAGCATATAATTATAATACACTAATGAGATCACCATGAAATCATTCATTTCAAATCCGTCTAGGTCCGATTTATTTTTAAACGATTTTTAAAAAATAGAAAAATCCTAAACAAAAATTGAACTTTATAATTTGACAGAAAAAAACAAAATTTTGTTTTTGTCAAATAAATATTAAATTTTTTAATTGAGTTTAAAAAATACTAAACTTTTTAAATGAACCTAAAAAAATATATAAACTTTTTATGTGATTATAAAAAAAATACTAAATTTTTTAAATGATTCAAAAAAATGTATGAATTATATACAATTTTAAAAAAACCAACTACAATAATTTGACAGCATCTTGTTATGATATGTCAGCTCATTTATTTATTTTGAAAATTGAAAAAAATTTATTTGACAAAATCAAAAGTTTATCAAAATTAAAAAGTTCAATGTTTTTTTTTTTGAGATTTTTCCAAAAAAAAAAACAAATACATCTAAAATCGAGTTGAGTTCTAACTAGGGGTGGGCACGGATCGGATATCCGGAATTTTTGAGATATCCGTATCCGTATCCGATCCGCACAAATATTCGATTTT